TAAACTTTAGATTTAAAGGAAAATTAAATTCCACTATGTGGGAAGTGTAGCCAATTAGAAAATTAGGGAGGAATGAGTGGGCCAATCAGACAAAAGGGGAAATGACCAATTAGAGGAAAAGGTGGACAGCCAATCAAGAGAGGGGATCTCCCTTTTCCCGTCAGCCACACCCACGCCCACGACCAAATTCGGTTTCGACTTGGTTCTAATTCCGGGTAATTTCCCCTAAGTAATCTGACGAAATTCACCCATTCTTCACCTGGAAATCATCCATTGGCCCCCTTCTTCCATTTTCATCCAAAATTAGGAGGAATTTGGTGGTAACTTGTTCCAAAAACCGGTAGTGGGTGCTGTGAGACATTGCTCGGGATTCACTAATTGTGAATCAATCTCCTTCAATTAACACTACCAAAACACTTCCCTAGAACCCAGGAACAAAGCCCAGATAGTGGTTGAGGCGTCAAAGCAAGTTTGGAGGTCGAATCAAACACACCCAAGTATAGGGTTTCCGACGGGTTTTAACAAAATTGAAGCTTTTCCCAGCCTAATTGGCATTGGTCACAAGTATGAAAGTTACTCTACTCATTAAGATCTTCATTCTTGTAAATTTTGGTAATTTTTGGAAATAGTTGGATTTTCCGACAAGTCAGGGCAGCCAAACGCCACCCGCGACGATGCGTGCAGCGACACATGGCCAGGGGACCGTCGATGTTATTCTTAAACTAAATTAGATGCCTTGAGTTCAGTTTTGGTGATTGTATAACGTAGGTTGATCGTTTGGACCTAAATTCATTACGATACGTTAATAGGTATTTATACGAATCGATGATCCGACCGTTGGATCGTCACCAAAATTTGTTACGTTATAGTATGTAATATTTGAAGACTATAGAAACTTACAGATCAGGAATCCGACGTACAGATCTTCCCGAATTGGAACATAAATGTTAACCGCCACTTGTTTTTGGGCAATTGGCGGAGATCGGACCGTTGGATTGTAATGAAATTTTAGTATGTTATTCTAGAAGTAAAATGTGGATCTTTGGAAGTTGCAGATTTGGAAATATGATATGCAGATCTTCCAGATCGAGTTATACAGGGTTGTAGACCCTACTGTCAATCTTTGATCGACGGTTGACTTGTGGTCAATTAGTCTCAAACTATTTTAGAATGCCCTTGAGGATGTGTGCTGTAAGAATTACGTATTCTATTGATAAGAGTTCTGAGATGTGATTCGATAATTGGTCACAGACGCCAATCATTCGGGACACTTCGATGTACGTGCTAGAGAATCATAGCGTGGACTCCAGGTGAGTGGGTTTTTGGTTTTCTATACAAGTATATATGCTTTATGTTTTAGAATATGCATCTAGTGATTACTTATGTTATTGTTGATATTGTGAACTACAAATGGCTTGATCTCTGTTTAGGGTACGTAGGCAATCTAACGAGACGTTAGATGCAGCCATACAATAAATAAGACCAAATAATTAAGACAATAGCCTTGTTTGGGGAATTGAGCAATGTGAAGGAGATTGATGGAAAATGTGAGATTTAACCTTATTTATTGGTGGTTAAATGTTGGTTATGTGAAGAATCGTAATATTGAAGTGAAAAATAGTTAGGAAGGATAGTTAATTTAACCAGTGTTTAGTTGGGCTTATCACCGATAATTATATCTGAAGGTAAATAGTTTGGGAGTGGGGTGTTATAGCTTACGCATATTATGCCATTTGTATATATGTTTATATATTTGGAAATATTATGATATGGTTGAATTTCATATTTACATTCTGGTATATCCATATGTATGCTACTTGCACATAATTAAAGGTGAACGCTCTGAAGTGCAAAGGTGAACGCAGGACGCACAGATAAGTTCAGGTGAGTTTATGGTATTAATTGAAATGATGGAGTTATGGCATGACTACATGTAAGTTTTAGGCAACTTCGACCTTGTCGTACAAGTTGCAATAATAGGCAACTTCGACACTGTCGTACAGGTTGCCCATGAGTTGTATATGTTACAATAGATGTAGTTAGAGCTTATAACCCTGCACCCCTGTGTTAGTGCTCCCGCCCATGGCCAGGGCACAGTCCTTCACGTGATGTTCACCTCCCGCACCTTGGGTCCAAGGTAGGTGCACAATCATATCGTACAGACCACTATAGGTGGTTCCGACTTGTAGGTGACCTGCGATTATTCGCACAGTTTTCACGTGATCGTAGCACTTAAGTGTATTTATTTACACCCAATCCTGTCGTACAAACCACTATAGGTGGTTCTGACTCGTGTGCAGGGATATGTGATGAGCTATGGGTTCAGCCATACAAGCCACAAGAGGTGGATCCGGCTGACATGTTACTTGGATATGTGATGAGATGTGAATAAGTCGTACATGTCACTATAGGTGACTCCGACTTATATGCTAACAATGATTAATGAGATATGAATTAAGTCGTACATGTCACTATAGGTGACTCTGACTTATATGCTAGCAATGATTGATGAGATATGTGATGAAATATGGATAAGTCGTACAGGTCTCTATAGGTGACTTCGACTTGTATGCTAGCATTGATTGATGAGATATTGACTCAGTTGTACAAGCCACGAAAGGTGACTCCGACTAACATGTTGATGAGATATATATGTTTATTGAGATCTATGGCACGATATTCATGTGGACTTTGTTATGCCGTGTATGGGATTGAGATAGATATGTATTCTATTTTCTGGGAAATATACATGTGTTACGGCGAGGAGTTACTGCCCTTGGTAATTGAAGTTGGTTTGAAAAGTTTTGTTTCACTCACTCACATTTTTCTATTTTTGTACCCATCCAGGTTCTAGAAACAGAGTTCCATATCGACGAGGATTCGTGGCACTTTTCAATACAGATGTCTTCTTATGATGGTAAAATAATTACCTTACCTCATTGTACTATACTTATGCTCTATATCACTCGTGAAATGGGTCTAGACCCGCTTACCGCGCGCTCGTGTACTTAACCACATTTAGATTTCAATTTATTCACATTTTATACATTATCGCACTTATGGCTTCGTCACCTTCCAAGTGTCGGCCAACACGGCTCGATTCAGGGTCCTAGTGGACATTCCAGGTCAGGGTGGCTCGCTTCGGTGTCCTAGTGGACATTCCAGGTCGGGGTGCCAACACGGCCAACACGGCTCGATTCGGGGTCCTAGTGTTGATAATATCATTTGTTAAAAAAAAATAAATAATCATTTGACAACTAATTTAATCACATTATTATGCTTGTGCGAAAGATCTTTTTTATAACCGGCATTACACAGCTTTTAAGATGTTTGAACGTGTTTAAAAATAGAGAAAATAATATTTAATGAACAAATGATTGAATATCATTATTGTTAGCCTATTATGAGGTACTAATTAAAAAAAAACAAAACTATACAAAAAAAATTAATTATTAAAAAAACGTTATTAACATGACGAAAAAACCCTTACATGATTTGGTGCATTATGTTGGGCTGCTTTTGAAATATTTTGTTTTGGGAGAATTTTTTTTCCAAAAAAATTGGTGAAGCTTGTGATCCCAAAAGAGGTTGTTGGATTTATATACAAAGATTATATTTCATCTATGGTTAGAAATTATAACAAGAGTATGTGAAAACTGTGTAAAAATCTTTGTTTTTTTTTTTTTGATGTGTAATAGCGAAGGTCCGTGAACTTTATATCATATTTAGTTTTCGTTCCTAAACTCTTATATTAGTTTCTTGTGTCCTTCAACTTAATTATGCGTTGCATGAGTGGTCATTTCGTCAAATCTATATTTTCCATTAAATATAAGGGTATAGTGGTCTATTCATACAAAAAAATCGGATTTATTTATAAAAAAATAAAAAAATAAGAGCTTGGCTCCTTAAGGTTAAGGAGAGACCTGTTCAAAGAATTTCGTGGTTATAATCGGAACCGTTCATATTATAATTCATTATGTAAAGATCATCTCTACAAAAATTCAATTAAAACTAAGATCCTTTAGTCAATCCTTGAAAAGCTCCGAATATAAGTACGAAATTCTGTAAATAGATCACGAGGTATTTGAAGAAGGAGTTCCTTGTCAATTTTGAGGAGTCAAGTCTTTCTTTAAAAAAAAAAAAAAAAAAAAAAAAAAAAGAAATCATTCTCTTAATTTTTTTATGAAACTTCTATTTTATTCTTTAACTTAACGGAAAAGTTAATAGAATTAACAAAAAGAATTACTAGTACAACAAATGACATAATTCGAAAACAGAAAGAACTATTATATAAGCTTATATATACATACATATAGATATGCATATATATATATAAATATATACACACACACACACATACATATAGATATACATACATACATACATACATACATACATACATACATATAATACGGGCAATATTAGGAAAGTGTGAAATTGAAACATTGGAACTTATGCATTTTTCATTTTGAAGAAATTTTTGAATTTTTTTTTTTTTTTGGCAAACGAAAGTTTTGAAATTTATCTCACGTAGAAAGTAAAGACAAATACCCTCCTCTCTCACTTTTTTTTTTCTTTCTCTCCCTATAATAAAAATTTCAATACCAGATATTGAAGAAACTCCAATTAGTGGTTATAGGTTGTAAGAAACTCTAACCGTGTACTTCTTTGAGGAAGCACTTCAACTGCTTTTTCAAGAATTACTTACATTTTTATTAATAACTATAATGTCCTAATAAAAATGATATGTAAAAGTGGTTTTTACACATCAAAATTGAAAATAATTTGTAATAAAAAAGTATTTTAAATGTTAAATTAGTTCTTTTATTTTTATTTTCTTTGCTTAATATTATTGTTATTTTATTTTAGTGGAATTTCTTGCGTGAGACACCAAATAGTCTCATACTAATGTTAACTCATCAAACAGAATGTAACCTTTTTTTCGCTTTCTTTTACATATACACTCTTAAACTTTACCCAAAAAAAAAGTTCTGCAGAAATCAAGAATGTAAAATTTACCAAAAAAAAAAAAAGGAGGCTCACGAGCCATACAATTTTAATTGGAAAAACAATGTTTATGTACGATAATTAATACCTAATTTGCCTAACGTGTCAATGAATAAAGTAACGAAAAATGCCGGTATACAAACACAAGTACATATAAATATACCAGCTTCAAACAATGATCTATCCAACGCGATGGATTTGCAGCATTAAACGCTTTATTTGCTAGATCACAGGAGGTTCTTGGCTGTCCCCGGCGATATATCACCGTCTCCCTGTATCTCTCATCACGTGATTATAGATATGGGACCCTGTGCCCCCTCAATTGATCAATCAAAACCCTGCATATTTTGCTTGCGTATCCCTGCGCGTTCTGCGTTATACCTCTTTTTCCAATGGTTGGTGCACCTGGTAGGGTTTTAGGAGTCAGAAAAGGGTAGCTCTTTCATCAAAAGTTAAGAACTATTGAAGGTTTTCAATTTTCTCACCTTGTTTTCAGGAGCAGGTCTAGTTCCAACATGTGCACTGCTTTTGCATACACTCCCGCCTGCATTCGAGGAGGATACGAACTTAAGATCAAACAATATATGATACGAAATGTCAATCTTTTCTTTCAAATTTTAAATAAGCAGAGGATGAAGTTTGGGAAACGAGAACTACAGTTGAAGAAAAGCCAAACATCAAAATTAAGTGAGAATCCCGTCCAACGCAATAAAAGTCATCTGGTACTTAATAAAAATTTCACACACATATAATCCCTAGGGCTGGAGTGGATTCTGCCAGTGAAAGATGAGAATCCGAAGGACAGAGTTCCCTCCCAAATGCCAAGTTGGAAAATATAATTTGATAGAACTTCAATAGTTTTAGCATTATGTTATAAACCATGTTTTTAAAAGCACCCTTTACTAAAGATTTACTACTGAGTGGAGACTACGACATCAGAAAAGAATTTGATGATCAAGATGAACACTATTCAAGGACTAGGGCCCCTAGATCTTGCCAGCATTGTGATCACATTTCTGAATATGATTCATACTTTTCGCTCAATAGCACTTTTAAGTTGTATTGTATGGTTCGGAAAATTAACAAGTTAAAGGTTGTTGGACTACAAATGATTATAACCATTTTCTTCATAAACTAGGTATCTACCTCTCTGCATATTGGGCACTTTGCATCCGGGGCTGCAGATTTAGGGCCTTGGAAGATAAACACAAAAGCAGCTGCGCACGCACAAGACTTGCAGAACAGGTGACCGCAGCTCAAAGCATAGGGATTGAAAACAGATTCCTGCGAATCATCAAATACACATCAGAACATTTATGTACAAATGCCAATTTCTCTTTCAGAATGCAAGTGAAAGGACCTTACCAAGCATACAGCACAAGTTAGATCATATTCCATCTTTAAGGAGTCAGGAAGCATCAATGTCATTGTAGGTGGTGTCACAGAGAGATCACAGGAAAAGCGACCAGAAACCTCATTAAGCTCGTCACCATCCAATACATCAAGATTCAAATAAAATGCACCCAATTCTATAAGCCAAGGTGATTGCAAAATCTCAATATGTTCTGCCCACATCTTGGATTTGAAAAGCTTGCCATTTTCAGAGCTATGTATCTGTAGTATAAGATTAAAACAAAGGAACACTGTTAGGTACACAACACCATGAACCAAGTTAGCAAAGTAAAAAAAAAAAAAAAAATTGACCAGTCTCGTGCATACTTTATCATATTTCTTAAGGATTTTTCTGATAGCAATTGTGTTCATCGTAACATACTCAATCAACATCCGCCCTTTTTCTACCATAGCTTGTTGATCATTTATGAAACACTGACGGAACTGCAGAAAGTATCTCTGGACCCCGGTAGCAACATGGAGATGAAGGAGATGTCTGACTCTCAAACTAAAGCATAGATCTATTTCTGAAACCTCCTTCATTAACTCCGTGAAAAATGCCTGGTCGCACACTACAATATAGAAAAATGAGAGTTGATGAGACTACGAACATTAGTTATGAACTTAAAAAGTAAGCAAAAATACTAACACCGAAAAAAAAAAAATAACAAATCTCTTACAAAATAGGCCTCAAACGTCTAACTACTGATTAATTGTCACTCTAAAAGAATCCAAGCACGAACTTTTAAATCCGAGATGACCACCAAATTGTAATGCTCATTGTTTGCAGCTATGCGAACCATTTATAAAGCAAACTTATTCCACAGAAACATGTTAGTCATGATATCATTACTTTAAAAATTCCCAAATGTCGACATCCTTTTTAAGAAACAAGAAAAGTAGGAAAGCACAGTTGTGGCAACATCTCATATTCGTTTAGAAAGTTCTAAAAAGGTCCTTTCGTTATTTAAATACTAAAACTAAACCCGAAAAAGGGCTAAAATACTAAAACAACATGGTTTATGCCTTCTTCAAATCATTTGAGCAGAATGTAGCTACCTGGACAAAAGCAATTGGGTAAATCTCAATATTAAACCCTGCAACCTTGACGAATGTTTCCCTAGCAGGATTTAAACACGACCAAATAGTTCAAAATTTGCAAAAACTCCTTAATCGAACCATACAGTAATTAAACAAAAACCCAATTAATATTTTCCCAATTAATCAAAAACTCGGTGTAAATGTCTCCAAATTTCATATTTTCCCAATTAATCAAATTCAAATCAGTCCGGCTTCCGAAACCCTAGAATTAGCCGGATGAAAATGAAAATTTGAAGGATTTGGCGTGAGGTGAGAGTGAGGAGAAGGAGGAGGTGGTGGCGGGAGAAGGTTTTCCGAACCGAGCTCCGAAGGCTCGATTCTCTTTTCCTTCTCAATTTGCTCGGGAAACGAACGGCGGTTTATGAAGGAAATTGAGTGGTGGGGACGAAGCACGCGGAAGTCGAAGCGAGTTTAAACCGGAAAAGACCCGCGCTTTTTTAGGGGGTTATTCAAAAGAGTGTCCTATCCAAACATTCCATTTTACTTCTTATATCCTTTTGATAATTTATGTCCATTAATCTTTTTCAATTTATCCGATCCGACGGTTTAAAATTAAAAAAATGTGTGAGAAGTAAAATGGGGTGTGTGGATATCACACCCCATTTAAAAAAAAAAAAAACAGAAACATATACAAAGAGCACATACGTTTGAGGCGAAACAGGAAGACATGTTCGTCGATAGTTGATGATGCATATGCTTGCAGTAATTTTAGGAATCAACTTAGGTGAAACGAGTAGACCAAGTCGTTGATAGTTGACGAGTATAAATTAATATCGTCTTGTCAAAAAAAAAAAAAGAGTTATATTATAGCATGTACTTTTAATATGGGGTTAGCAACTGTGCGGATGATGCTTTATCATAATAGTAGAAAACAATAATGCTTATGCAGATCCTATATGATTCAATTCCTAATGATTATCCCTCTACATTTAACAATTTAATCCACTAAAAAGCTATTGTCTTGAAAAAAAAGTGTTCTAGCAACTACTAGGACTACTATTTTTTTGTTGTTGTTGTATATTAAACGGTAGAACATGTTACACAACATGCATTATGCATACGGTTGTGCTATCTACATACATTTTTATATCTCAATTTTCGACGTTGGATCGAATGGATTGAAGAAGATTGGTTAAAAAAAAATTAACAAGAGTGTGTGAATAGCACTAGGCATCTGATGGTTTGGAGAAATTCAACCTCCCTAAATGTTGCTTGCATTTTTTTTGCATATTTACTAGGTTTCTTTGGTCACGACAAACCACAAGATAATTTCCCACATACATTTCTCAATTTTTGACGTCAGACCGAATAGATTAAAGAAGATCGATGAAAAGAAATTAACAAGAGTGTGTGAATAGCACTAGGCATTTGATGGTTTGAAGAAATTCAACCTCCCTAAATGTTGCTTGCATTTTTTTGTTTTTTGTTTTTTGTTTTGGGTCAACTTTTGCAAATTTACTAAGTTACTTTGGTCACGACGAAACCACCAAATAATCTCATTTCTCAATTTTCGACATCAGGCCGAATGGAATAAAGAAGATCGATGAAAAGAAATTAACAAGAGTGTGTGAATAGCACTAGGCATCTGATGGTTTGAAGAAATTCAACCTCCCTAAATGTTGCTTGCATTTTTTTTTGTTTTTTTTTTGGGTCAACTTTTGCATATTTACAAAATTACTTTGGTCACGACAAAACCACCTAATAATTTCTTTGGAGACCTTTTTAAGTATATCCAAAATACTTTTTTAAATGGTGTATTAATTTTTTTTTAAAATATTGTATTAATTCACGTGTTATGATATAAGCAGGGACATACAATTTTATGACATATTAGTAAAAAAATAAATATATTAAATGGTGTATTAATTTCTTTTAAAAATATTGTATTAATCCACGTCTTATAATATAAGTAGAGACATACAATTTTATAACATATTAGTAAAAAAATAAATATATAACTAATTTCAAAGTGCAGAACTTTAAAATGTCACTGTAAATTTCTAACATATTTTAAAATGTAGCTTATTAAGATTCATCCGCCCACTAAAATTCGTGTCGTGCCGTGTTGGACTGGTTTTAAATTGGCCATATTCGGGCCTACCCAATAAACCAATTTGGGACCCCACAGAAAAAACAAAAACTATAGTGGAGCAACCGCTGAAGTTCATGGAATCCTGGGGTAAGTTTGTGATTAACCCTTTTTCGACCCACTTTTCTGAAAAACAGAAAAGTTTTACTTTAGAATTTTGAATCAATCGAGGAAGTGGAATAAAATATTTGGGGTAGATTTTAACCAAAAAAATATATGTGGGGTAAATTTTAAATTACTGTTGAATTGACAATTGAAGTTCGTCCGTGCGCGCTTGGTTGTTGGGCACATGATCAGTCCTGCTCCAATCAACTCGACGGCGGTCGGCGGAGGATCCATAGACTCTATTCCCCTAAGCCAAAAGATTCAGGCTTCAGCAGCTGAGAACCCAACGGAAACTCAGACCCACCCGCGCAACCGCCCGACCCGACCCAAACCGGGTTCTATCTAAGATTCAGAGATCCACCGCCGAGAAGCAACAACCGCCGACCCATCAGACCCATCACGCCTCCTCCTCCTCCGGCTTTCTCCACTGGTAAATTTCCTCATTTGGGTTTTCTTGTTCCGTTTCTGAATTTCCCTCTTTTCTTCACGTTATAATCTTTGCTTGTGCAAGTGTGATTCTTTGCTTCATTAGCTTCTGGGATTGTTTGGGTTCTGGGGATTCATGGATTTACTTGAAACTGTAGGGAAATTGGCGAAAACGATCAGAAATCGTCAAATCCCAATTGCTGAATCGATCAAAATTAAATATCGACGAGATATGGACGGAATATGGATGACATAGCGATGAGAATAGGAAGACATACCCAAAAACTGATCATTTCAGCAATTAGGAGTTAAGCGGTAGAAACTAATCCAAATCCAAACTATAGTGTAAAGTAGATTTGGTTTGGTTTTTTGGGATGCTTAATTTCAATTCTGCACCAAAAGTTTAAATTTTGCATCCATTATTCAATACTAGCTCAATAATCATAATGTCTCCCTACACTTTGCTTCTGAATTCTGATATATTATCATGTTTTAGGTCTTGGCAGCTCGGACTGTGCGACTATTTCTGTCGGATAGGATAAATAGCCACCGATAGTACTGACTAAATTAGTCTAGTGTTTGGTGTAGTATCGGACTAGTGATTGTATTATTTATACTATGTTTGGTATTATACTAGATAGGAAGAATCAAACTTAAAAAAAAAAAAATTTTAAAAAATGAAATCATTTTTTTGTTCCCAGATCTCTCTGCACCCCCCAAACACCCTCCCTCTCTCTCCCTTCTTCTTCCCCGACTACAGAAGAATCTCAAATAATTGTTCCCTAGCTGTCTCCGCCACACCCCCCAAACTCCCTCCCTTTCTCTCCCATATTCTTCTTCTCCGACTAAATAATCCGGGCGTTTTGGTTGGTTTTATTAAGTGGGTGTATACTGTGTTATCCTATCCGACCGGTTAAATTAATCCGGCGCTTATTTAGTACGAGTGAACGCCAAACACTCGAGTCCGTATAACTAATCATATCCGATCCTTTTTCCGATCTGCCAAACAGGGCCTTAGAGTTTTTCAACGGAGAAATATTAGGACCCGATTGTCCCACATCGGAAAAATAGCAGCGTATCTTGTGGTGGATTTTTATATAGTATGGTATTCTGTAGGGATTCATGGTGTTGCAGAGAGTTCATAGTTACTCATGATCTCATTGTTTCCGTTTTATGTTTTAAGATGAGGAGGGGAATTTTGAATCCAGTTTTCAATTTAAATTGTATGTGAAGTGCTGTTGGTTGTTTTTATTTTTTGTTTTTTCATTATTTGGCCATCAACTGCTCGAGTTTGAGTAGTACGTGTCCAACTATCGGATTGTATTTTCCGTCGACAATGGTCTCATTGTTTCTGATCCATTGAACAGATGATTTCACAAGCAGGGTCTCTGTTGATGGACAAGAAAAGGCAAAGGTGGCTGGGGGTTGCCCTGCACAAGAAGAATACCTTCGCTGGCGGTCTAATTGAATCTTCAAACTCCGATAATGATCCTGACCTGTAAGATAGTTGAGTGACAGTTAAAAAGCAGAGGGTCAGAATTGTGATACCTCCATTGCCTATTGCTACTAAATCTCCACTGCCGAATCCAGGACCAGTCCAGCTGCGACCTGTGGCCAGAGAAGCGGAAGGCAACGAATCACAGTTTCCCGTTGAGACTAAGACATGTCCCAAGACAAATTCAGTTCATGAGCAAAAAAAGATTAAATCTCTTGCTCCTAAAAGGGTTGTTCAAGTTACTAGGAAATCTCCTCCTGCCGAATACATTTCAACATTTCCGAAGCCAATGAAGCGAGATTTGAGAATGGAATTACGAAATCCAGCTCAGATTGCTACTTCAGAGTCTCATAGAACACTAGAAGTATCTAAAACCTCAAAAGCCATCATTCAGCCAAGACGATTACGACATGGCCCCAGTATTTTCATTGATCAAGGAATGCTGCTGAATCAAAAGCTGAGAGCTCTGAATCTCGAGATGAAGCTTCAGAGAGCTGGCGGGTTAATCAGGTGGTTAGCATCACTGGGACTGGGGCAATTTGTTAGGATTTTCAAGAGGAAAGTTCTCAGTAAAGTTCAGCTGGTGAATCTGACCATGAAGAAGCTCAAAGACATGGGTGCCAATGCAGTAGGGCCCCGGAGGAAACTGATGCATGCAATCCACTGCTTTTGCCAGCCGTGCTTCTATTAAAAGCATTCGAAATTCATTTTGGTCCAAGCTGAGATAAAACCCAAAACCAAAATCCCTTTCTGCAATTGACATCAAATACAGCAAGGTATCTTGTTTCCATTTCAATGTGTACAGTTTCCGAATTGGTGCATATTCTGAAAAAGAAAATGTCTACAAACTACGAGTTGAGATTCTCTTCGGATTTCGGGGTTCGAGCTAACGGCCCAGGAAATCCGAACCACTTCACAGAAAATCAAGCCCTTAACCGACCTGGATTTGTCTCTCTCTTGAGTGGTCTTAATTCCCTAGTCAGTAGGCCCCGGACACAAGCTAGGGCAAAATCATGTGATTGCTAGTTGTATGGATAAGCCTTGTGTCAGTTTTCGACGAGCATTCAGAATGCTACATGAAGTAGGTTTGTAACGTTTGTCTATGAAAATATGGGTGTCAATAATTGTGTCCATTAGAGCACTTCCACCGGAAGCAAAAAAGGCCAGCACCCAGTGGAAAAAAGAGACTGGGACTCAGCCAAACCATTCCAGCCCGTGGAATAGACAGGTACCCAGCCCAAGCTAGTCTCCAGGCCAGCCTAAAATGGATTGACCAAGGGACCGGCCCGTTTGTTTTTGTTGAGCCTGGCGCATGGCCTTCACTCTCGAGTGGGCGCGATTAGCAAACAACAAAATCAGAGGCGGGGCCCACTGGTAAGCGTACTCAAATTTCATCCGGGTTGGGCGACGTGGCCTACTCTATGCTGTTGGATTTCCAATGGCTAGTTTTTCTACACCGTTGGATTTCCAACCGTAAAAAAAAAATTGAATTTCACTTTTAAACTGGACCGTTCGATCACAGATCAACGGTCCACGTTTTTTCCCCCAAAAATAAAATAAAAAAAGACCCAATGGTTAGAATTATAATCGTTGGCCACGTGGCAGCTCGTTGGCTATTGGATTTGAATATTTTTCAAATCCAACGGCCCAGATTAATTAACAACATTAAAATTAATTAAAAATTATGAATTTTTTTTTAAATACAGAAAAATTTTAAAAAATTAATTTTTTTTTCTATAAATACCTAACCCTCATCTTCCACCTTACACCACATTTCAATATTTTCTACACTTTCTACACTTTCTACATTTCAATATTTTGTACACTTTGAGAGAGAAAAATGACTTCGTGGAAGCTCATTGAAGATGTTACGTTGTGTGAATGTTGGGTTCACACTACTCATGACCCGATTATCGGTAATGAGATGGATAAGCGAGAAATGTAGAGTAAAATTACGAAGGCGTTTTGCAATGTACATGGAAAAGATGCCAAAACTAGTCAAGGTCTTCAAGGTCGTTGGAAAAAACTCAACGCATCCTTTACTTGTTGGAAAAACGCCATCTCTCATGCTTCCGATAATCTGCGTAGTGAGACAAGTTTAGCGGATCAGATAACAATATTTTTATTTATTTATATGCATTCCACCCGCATCAATATTTTAATTTATTTAATTTCTTATATAATTTTTATGTAATTTCTTACAAAATCCAGATCAGATTGCTACTTCAGAGTCTCATGGAACACTGGGAGTATCTAAAACCTCAAAAGCCATCATTCAGCCAAGACGATTACGACATGGCCCCTGTATTTTCATTGATCAAGGAATGCTGCTGAGCTAAGAGCTCTGAATCTCGAGAAGAAGCTTCAGAGAGCTGGCGGGTTAATTAGGTGGCTAGCATCACTAGGACTGGGGCAATTTGTTAGGATTTTCAAGAGGAAAGTTCTCAGTAAAGTTCAGTTGGTGAATCTGACCATGAAGAAGCTCAAAGACATGGGTGCCAATGCAGTAAGGCCCTGGAGGAAACTGATGCATGCAATCCACTGCTTTTGCCAGCCGTGCTTCTACTAAAAGCATTCCGGAATTCATTTAGGTCCAAGTTGAGATAAAACCCAAAACCAAAATCCCTTTCTGCAATTGACATCAAATGCAGCAAGGTATCTTGTTTCCAGTTCGATGTGTACAGTTCCGGATTGGTGCATATTCTGAAAAAGAAAATGTCTACAAACTACGAGTTGAGATTCTCTCCGGATTTCGAGGTCCCAAGCTGATGGCCTAGGAAATCCGAACCACTTCATAGAAAATCAAGCTCTTGACCGACCTGGATTTGTCTCTCTCTTGAGTGGTCTTAATTCCCTAGTCAATAGGCCCTGGACACAAGCTAGGGCAAAATCATGTGATTGCTAGTTGTACAGATAAGCCTTGTGTCAGTTTTCGATGAGTATTCAGAATGCTACATGATGTAGGTTTGTAAAGTTTGTCTATGAATATCTGGGTGTCAATAATTGTGTCCATTAGAGCAGTTCCACCGGGAGTGGATTGCCCAGCACCCAAAATAGGCCGGCCCCCAGCCAAATCACTCCACCCCAGCCTAATAGGTTGACACCCAACCCAAGCCAGACAAGAGACCGGCTCGCCGACAGATTGCAACTGTGTTGCCCGTGGGGGTGTCGCAGAGCAAGATCTTGGTGCAGAGCTCCTCGGGGCTGAGATTGTAAGAGTAGTAGACATCACCGAACCACAATTCCATCACCGGATGACGCCGTGTCCCTGGAGGGTTCGATCTGAGTGTCGCGGCCATTGGAGGCGTGAGGAATTTTTCGGGAAAATGAAGGAAAACGAGGGAAAATTAGGATCGAAACATGGATTTTTGGGTGAAAAAAATGAAAACTTGGAGAGGGGTTTGGGAAATTTGGGGTTGAATTCAACTGGGTTTAGATTTTGGGAAGTGTGTGTATGGTGGTGGAATTTTGATGGTGGAGTTGGAAATCCGGTGATGAACATTAAAAATAAAATTTTGTTTTATTATTTTATAATAAAAAATAATAATATTTTAATAAAATTGACTAAGCTATTTTTTGTTAGGGGTGGTGATGCATTTGGCCTATTACTATTTATTGAGGTCTATCACTGTTCACTGAGTGAATTAAATAGGCTGGGTGCTGGCGTATTTTTTTTAGGGGTAAACTTGTTCTTAGATCATAAACATTGGTGGATCTATCAAATCATATGTTTCTTATCATTCAATGACGATATTTTTCGTGCGAGAACATAATGTGGCGGTGATGCTCACGATTTGACGGTGATGGGTAGCATGTTGTTTACTTTTATGTTAGAGTGGTATTTAGATATCTAATTATAACTAACGCATTGTACGACTTAGTTAAAATTTAGACTCTCCAATATTGTTGTATAAATGAAAAAAGAAACTATATAAACAAGAGAAATTTTATTTGAACTCATCTA